CATGTCAGGAGAGGTCAGCTGGCTGATGTCTGCCTGGACACTCCCTTATGTAATGGGCACACCACAGGGATGGATGTTCTCTGGGCAGGAACACCCATGGTGACTATGCCAGGTAAGTGGCTGGTAGATCATTGCATCCTTCTTTATTCATTAAAAGTTTTTGATCAAGAGGAATACTTGAAGGTGACATTGTATGTACTTGAAGTAATTAAGGCAGGAGGATAGAAAATGGGACTTCTGCAAGCCTGAGTACTTGGCAGCACCCTTCTTGTTTGTACTGTGTAGGTACTTCAATGCAATTAACAATGACGACTATGTGACTTCCCCGTTCGAAGATGTGCAATTACTGTCTTTCCTTTTCAGGAGAGACACTTGCCTCTCGAGTTGCAGCTTCTCAGCTTACTTGCCTAGGATGTCTTGAGCTCATTGCTAAAAGCAGACAAGAATATGAAGACATAGCTGTAAAACTGGGAACTGATCTCGAATAGTAAGTAAACTGCCAGGAACAAACTATATCTGAGAATGTGGCTAAAATCAAGCCATAAGTTAAGGATAATTTAAAATAGGTGAAGTAAGTTGTATGCTCTCTGGATGAGAAGAGACATGATCTAAACTCGCAAGTCATCACTAGACTTTAGTAAAGAACTTTCCAAAGTGTCAGATGTTTGAGCCTAATAATCCACTTCTTCACAGTAGGATCTAAAAAAAACCAAAACAAAACCAACACTGCCACCAAAAAAGCACAAAAAAACTTAGTTGCTTGAAAATGAGTGGGAATTAGAGGGATCATGCTATGGTAAATGGAGCTTCATCCATTCAATGAAATAGTGTTTCTAATTTGTCTTTGTTTCATGCTATTTATGTTTAATGCATTAATTTTTTTTCTGGGTGATGGAGGGATACACCTTTAATCCCAGCATTTGGGAGATAGAGGCAGGCAATCTGTGAGTTCAAGGCCAGTTGTCTTCTGGCCATTACATGCACACATAAACACATGCATAGATACCCAAATACACAAATAGAGTCCATAGGGTCTTTTTTGTTTTGTTTTGTTTGAAAGACAGCATTAATATTAATATTAATATGAGTACAGTTGGGTTGAACCTAACCAATGGAAGCCAACTTTCAATATACTTCTGATGCTGTGTTAAACTCCATGACCAAAATCAACTTGGAGAACAAAGGGTCACAGTTCATCATGAAGGGATGCCAAGGCAAGAAAGAACCTAGAAGCAAGAGGTGAAGCACAGAAATGGAGGAGCACTGCTTGTTGGCTTGTTCCCCGTGGCTTGCTCAGCCTGCTTGCTAGGCTACATTAGCCTGGGTCCTCCCCCATTAATCATTAATTAAGAAAATGGCTTACAGACATGCCCACAGACCAGCCTGATGGATGCAGTTTCTCACTTGAGGTTCCCTCTTCTCAGATGTTTATCTTAAGTTGACAGGCCAATCAGAAAAGATATTTTTTTTTATATTATACCACAAAATAAATAGGTATTTATAGGGTCTAGTTCTGAGTTTTTGTTCTGATTTGTAAAGTTGGTTTTCTTTGTTTTTATTACCTAGCCTGAAGAAAATTCGTGGCAAAGTCTGGAAACAGAGAATATCTAGCCCTCTGTTCAACACCAAACAATACACAATGGAATTAGAGCGGCTCTATCTGCAGATGTGGGAGCACTATGCAGCTGGCAACAAACCTGACCACATGATTAAGCCTGTTGAAGTCACTGAGTCAGCCTGAATAAAGACTGCATAGAATTACCCCTATACCTGAGCCTCAACCTTCTGGGGGAAAGGGAACTAGATAACATGCATTGTGCTTATCTGTACAGTACCGTGTTGCAGATGGGTGATATATAACGATAATAGAATAGCACAGCCAGACTTGCTTCCTGCATGATCGGGAGAGACGAGATAAGAAACTGCTATTCCAAAAGGAATCTCTGTAGTGTGTTGCAGCAAGCAGGTGGTGCAGAGGTCTGGAAGGTCTGGTCTCCCTTGGTCTTCCATGGGATGCTTAATGTGGAGGGAGATAGAGATTGACCAGCCATGGATTGATCGAGTCTTCTGATCCATCTTTTTTTCTTTATATTTTGGGTATTGGAGCTTTTAAAAATGTTTGCTTTCAGGTATTTTTACTCATGTGAAGTGATGTTGGTTGTTCTGAGATAAGGTTTTAAACTAAAATGTTGCTTCCTGTTTTAGTGTGTGAACTCTGACAGGGTGACAGGGACCTTGCTGGTGTAGTCTTTTTATAGGTTTTATAAACCACTGGAGTCTATATCAGTCGTTTTAGTGTCTGACCTAATGCTTGACGCTGGCAATGCTTTGTTGATTTAGATGGCGACTCAGATTTTTCAGCCTCTTTCTCATTTCTTTTCTCCCACCTCCATTTAAATTCACCTGTGACTGCTAACGATACCAAGTCTTGTTTCAAACATCCTCGAGTGTTTCTCTTAAACACGCCATCTGGTGCCAAATGAGAATTCTGAGGAGTGAATATTAATCACGAAGGGCACAGTTGTGGTACTGTTATTGATAATAATGTAGATTTTTTTTTTGCCTAATTTTTACCTGTTTCACCAGTGTTTAAGCCCCTGACTGCCCCTTCTATGCTGCTTCCAAAAGTGATAGTGTGTGATAAGACTTTTACCATCCTTTCTAAAGTTTGTTTTTTTCTTTAAAGTGAGTCCTGTTCTTCCTATTTCTTTCAGCAGAAATGAAATCCCAGGTAAGTATAAGTATTCAAATATTTGATTAGTAAGTTGCAGTTATCTCCAGTACATTAAATATTGTTCACTGACAGATTTCGAGGTAAAAGCTCTGCAGGACCATCTCTACAGGCAGTTATTTTTCAGACTGTGTTAATATATATCTTTTGGACTTAGTCTCTACATTTATGGATTCAACCTTGGTAGTAGTGAATTTGCATCACTACTTGGTTTAGAGTACAAGTTAGACATTTGCCCTCCTGGAGCTTGAATTCTTGCATTTCAATACAAGGTAGAGGGCTTGAGGCTTAAACAAAGAAGCCGCCATATGAATATGTTTCTACTACAATACTGCATTTCTCCTCTCCAGTCACAGGTCAGTTTCGTGTTAGTGCTTTAGACGATGTCTTTCCAAAGCACCTAGGCAGTGCACCTATTCTGTAGCTGCAGCTGTTGCCTGAATGTACCTTAGCTGACAAGTTATTGATAATTAAGAACTTGAATTTGTGATTCTTACTGCTAGTTAAAACCTAAGCAAGGAGTCTCGTGTGTAATTCTGAAGCAGAATTACATTGTGATGAACTGTGTACCTTTAGTAATGTAAATCCAGGAACACCAGTTAAGGGATTTATTTATTTTTTAACTGAATAAATATCAGTTAAAGGTTGCCAGCATGGTTACAGGTAAACTGACTTTCCAAATTCACGGAACTACTAAATGTGGGATTGGATAATAGACTTCCAGTACCACTAAGGCTGTGATCTGTGGCCATATTACATAGCACATCATTCCTCCTATAGGGATGAACTTTTTCCTGGCACGAAAAGTAGCCGCTCTGGTTGAAGCTTTGCTTATTGTAACAGGCTTTTATTTCCAGGTAACATGTCTGTGGAAGACTTAATTCTGATAGTTATAGATATTACTGGAAACTAATTTGTTTTTTTTTCTATTATATTCTGCTTTATTGAAAAAGTAAAGCATTTAAATTGTGCTCCAGAAATACAGATGTTGTCTTGCGATCTTTAAATAAATGGATGATTTCCCCTTAATATGGCTTGATGTATTTTGTCTTGTTTTGTTGAATATTACTGACAAAACTTACACTTGAGTAGCTCAAAACAGCACAACCAGGAAGTGTTTCCCTATTTTAGGTGTGATCTTGTTAGGAATTAACTTTGTTTTCTTAGCCAAGTCTGATGGGAGGATTGGAGATACTAAATAATCCATTAAGGGGACATCAGAACCCCAAATAACTATCTTTGCTGTTAAGGGTCATTTTTGTTTACCTTCCATTCTGGGGATTGAGAAGAGGGCCTTATGCATGTCAGGCAAGTGTATACAGATTGAGCTACAGGACGGCCTGTATACTCTCATTCTTTATATGGTATTTACAGACAGAACTCTTCCCTCTACTGTGGACAGTGGTTGAACTCAGCCACAAGATTGGCTTCTGGTTTTTCCAGAGACATAAAAGGGAAACATTTGGGGTTGGAGAGATGGCTCAGCAGTTGAGAATTCTGGGTGCACTTCCAGAGGCCCCAGGTTTGACTCCCAGCACCTACTTGGTGATTTGTAACTCTGTTCCAGGGGATCCAATACCCTCGTTTGGCCTCCCTGGGCACCAGGTGTGCACACGGTGCCCAGTTTACATACAAGCAAAACACAAATTAAAAATCTCTACGTTAACATGATGTATAGGCATACAACCAGGCAAAACCCATATATATAATAATATACTTTTAAAAATATTTAATGTTAAGTAAAATTTCATATAATTTACTTACCAATTTTATTGTACCCCCAAAGCCTTAATGAGATTTGTGTTTGTTGGAATCTGGGTACTTTAGGTCACAATGATTAATGGTGTTGGGTTCTGTGTCTTCTGACTCATAGCTATAAATCCCAGCACTGGTAGGCTGAGACAGGAGAATTATTAGAGGTATAAGGACATCCCAGGCTATGTAGTGAAACTGTCTCAAACAAAAAGGATGGTATGGGAAGAAAGGTTGCCTCATGACTCGGTAGTGTGGGATGAAGTCAGCTAGTCATAAAAGTCTGTTCTTCACCCTTATGTTGCTAAGTGCGCTTCATTTATCTCACCTCTGGCAGCTTCTGCCTTCACTCTAAGAGTTCCCTGAATAGATGAAAGAAATTTGGGTAATTGCTGAAATGCCTGAATTTGAACTTCTTTTGCAGTTTTAGACAGGATTCCATGTAGCCAAGGCTGGCCCAACTTCAGGTTCTCCTGCTTCTGCTTCCCATGTGCTGGTGTTAAAGAGAATTTATAAGCATGTGCCACCTTGTCCTGCTGGGTTTTTTTGTTTTTGACAGGATTTCACTGCATAACCCTGGCTGGCTTCAAATTTTTCCTTCCTGACCTGGATTTACAGGTATGTGCCGCCGTACCTGGCTGAACTGTTTATAAAGATTTAGTTTGAATCCTAACTTTTATTTGAAGTTTTTTGTTTTGAAGGCAGTTTTTTGTTTTTTATTTGAAGTTTTTTGTTTTAAGGCAGTTTCACAACATTGCTCAGACTGGCCTTGAACCTGGGAGTATAGGTGTGTACTATAATGCTTGAATTGTGTTACTTATACTTAACCATTTAGGCTCTTAACCTATACTTCTAATCCACATAATCAAGGAATCTCCATTTTTGTGGAGGAGAAAGTTACTATTACTCTTATTAGTTCAAGAAGCTTATCTAGTTGTTCACTTATTTATAGTGCATTTTGGAACTAGTACTGTTACAATTGAGTTCTAGCTATGCCACTTTCTAGTTGTTCAGCCTCTTAAGAAATGTAACATTGCATTTTAATATTTCTTTTTATGTGTATGGGTGTTTGCATACGTGTCCATAACCTGCATGTTTGTGGTGCTGACAGAAGCCCAAAGTGGATCCCCTGGATTTGGAGTTACAGATGATTGTGAGCAGCCCTGTGGGTGCTGGGATTCGAGCCCGGGTCCTCTGGAGGAACAGCCAGTGCTCTTTACAGCTAGCTGAGCCTCTCTCTAGCCCTACATTATTTTTTAAAACTTGGTGTATAGTGTATGTATGTCAGTTGTATTCTCTCTGTGATTCTCCATTTTATTTCTAGCTATTTCCACCTTACATCTCTCTTACCTACCTGGCCCCATCTGCACTTACTGACATTAAAGAGGTGGCTGTGCTCTATGTTCATGCTTGTCCAGCAAGCATTTTACTTGCTGAACCATCTTCCCAGGCCCTCACATTGAATTTTTAATTGTTTACAGACAAGAGTTTTCCTTTTGTTGTCCAGGTGGGCTCCTGGGTTCCCAGGCTCAAAGGATTCTTTGGCCTCAGCTTCCTGAGTAGTTGTGACTAGGGTGACGTACCAGTCAGTGCCTTTGTTCCTGGCTTATATATGTATTTTTTTTATATTTTATTTTATTTTTTATTAGATTTCTTTACATGTATGAGGTTTTGCTTGCATGTATGTCTGTGTACCACGTGTGTGCCTGGTGCCTGAGGAGGTCAGAAGAGAGCCTCAGATTCTCTGGAATTGGAGTTATGGATGTTTGTGAGCCACTGTATGGGGGCTAAGAATTGAACCCAGATCTTCTGCAAGAATAGTGCTCTTAACCACGGAACCAGCCATCTATCCAGCACCTCATGTATTTTGTTTGTTTTTTTTTTTTCAAGACGGTATCACTGTGGTCGTTCTGGACTCACTATGGAGATCAGGCTGGCCTCGAACTCAGCAGAGATCTGCCTGCCTCTGCCTTCCATTGGCTGGAATTAAAGGTATACAACAAAACACCTGGTACAATGCCTAGACGAGCAAATGCATGGGATGTTTCTTTTGTTTGTCCAATATAGGTGTCTTCCAGAGAATGGTAAAGTATAAAAATCATTTCTTGTTTTTCTTGGTGCGTTTGGAGTGGGTACAAGAAAGGTTAAAGTGTACTGCTTTTTTTTTTTCTCCAGGGTCTAACAATTATGGACGCCAGCACCACAGTTCAGTGTTGCTATAAGTTTTTGTGTTGCTCCCCATTGGTGTTACTGAGGAGACTAGATGATCCTCTCTGCCAGTGCTCGGAGCAGTTGAAACACCAGGTAGGTGAACTTTTAAAAGATTCTGGCAGCCGGGTGGCGGCGGTGGTAGGCGCCTTTAATCCCAGCATTCGGGAGGCAGAAGCAGGCGGATCTCTGTGAGTTGGAGACCAGCCTAGTTCACAAAGAGTTCCAGAAAAGCCAGGACTGTTACACAGAGAAACCCTTTGGAGGTCGGGGGAGGAGCAAAAAAACAAAACAAAGAAAAAAAAAACCCAGGCATGGTGGCTACGTGTTTGTAGTTCCAGCACTCCAAAGGCAAAGGCAAGCCAGCCTGGGCTACATAGACCAGATCTCAAAAACAAAATGGGGGCGGTGGTTGTTTGAGAATTGGCCGTGGGTTGCAGGCTGAACCTGGCGCACTCCGTGAAAAGCGGTATCTCGGGAGCGATACCTGGATTCCCGGATTCCGGAAGCTGGTATCACGGAAGCTCGTGTCACGGAGTCAGTTACAAAATTCAAATCGGCTATGTAGTCACCCGTGATAGGTGGGTACATCAAAGGCGGCAATACGTCAGCTCCCATCTTGCCTTGGGGCTGTACCCCGTAAAAGGCGCTGTACCCGTGCCCCCGTCCATTTTGTCCGCTCGGGAGCGGAGGAGCGGGTGGTGGCTCCGACCTGTGCCAGACACCGCAAGAGCAGGTACGCAAACGGTGGGCTAAGGCGGGCAGTGGTCTCACTTAAGTGTAGTACATTTAATTTAAAACCCCACTGTGTGTGAATGTGGGGGTTTGGGGACTGAGATCCCACTCGACTGTTTTCCCCTCAGCGAAAGTTCTGGGTGGGTGGTGGGTGGTGGGGATGTAGCTGAGGTGGTCCCTGGCACTGCCCAACGGGAGGACGGAGGAAAGCTCCGTTAAAGTCCAGTTGTGATACGGGGGTCGGGGGTGGTGGGGAGACCCGACCGAAACCCCTTGGGGGGTTTGAGGAAAAGTTTCGGAGCGGAAGGATGGAGGCTCCGAACAGTGAGAGGGACCTCGAGAGGGCATTTGGGGTTCCAAACAGGCGCCATAGTGTCCGGGTGGGGGAGGAGGAGGAGGTTGGCCGGTCTGGGACCGGTGCGACAACGGTGGCTTGGCCCGGGTTTAGTCTTTAGTGTCCTCGGACCTGGCGCCAGCGCCATAGTGCCATGGCGGCACAGCCACTTGGAGATGTCCCAAGTGGGTACGGGTCGCGGTTCTGGGGGGCCCAGCCGATACGCTGAGGCCGAGTCGGGTACGCGAAACGGGTGTCGGGCTGAGGGGAGAGTTCTGAGGGTCTGGATATTGAACTAGTGGCCTAGCCGAAGGGGAGGGGGCCAGGGTCCAAGTCTCATTGATGGAAGCTTCGAGGAGGAGCGAGAAGGGCAAAGTGCCAGATTTTTTTTTTTTTTCTAGAACTTTCCACGAGGCCGGTGGGCGGGGACAGGAGCAAGATCTCTTTGGTAAGTTAGAAAAGCCTGAGGCCCCTGCCTGCGCAGCCAATGAGAAGCTGAGGAGTAAGAGTTGGGCATTCCTTTTGGGGGGTGGTTCTGGGAGTGGGAGCGGAGGGCGGGGCGGCTTCCGGGAGTGGGAGCGAGGCAAGGCAGGGGGCGGGGCCACTTCCGGAACGGGAGCTAGGCAAGGCAGGGCGGGGCCACTTCCGGGGCGGGGCCACTTCCGGGAATGGGAGCTAGGCAAGGTAGAGGGCGGGGCTGCATCCAGGAGTGGGGGCGGTAGGCGGGGCGAAGGGTGGAGCAGTTGGGTGGGGCTGTAGGCGGGGTTCTGGGCGGGGTGGGAATGGCGGGCAGTGCCAGGGAGGAGTCGGAGCAGCGGTGGGGGCAGGCTAGCGGGAACCTGAGCAAGAGTGGGCTGTGCCTGCTAGGGGCAGAGGGCAGCAGTCGGAATGGAGGGCGGGAGCTGTGGGCCGGGTCAGGGTGGGGTGGGAATGGCGGGCGGTGCCAGGGAAGAGTTGGAGCAGTGGGTGGGGGTAGGGCAGGAGCGCCCAGCTAGAGGGGACCTGTGCAAGAGCAGGAGGTGCCTGGCAGGGATCAGGGGTGGTTGGCATGTACCCCTATGCTGCCCTGCTGGTTAAACATCAATAAAAAATTTAAAACCTTGAAAATAATCTTTGAAACCTTGAGGTTTGTGACGAAGATTAGAAGATTATTAGTAAAAGGGGAATCACTTTTAAATTTTTTAGACTTTTTTTAAATCTTTTTTTTTTTTTTGAGACAGGGTTTCTCTGTGTAGTTTTGGTACCTGTCCTGGAGCTCACTCTGTAGACCAGGCTGGTCTGGAACTCACAAAGATCTGCCTGGCTCTGCCTCCTGAGTGCTTGGGATTAAAGGTGTGTGCTGCCATCTGGCCTTAATCACTTTTTTAAAAAAAATCACTTCTAAATTTTTTTAGTCTCATTCTAGAGCTAAAAGTGGCCTGGAACTCTCAGTATATGTAAGGCTGGCCTGGAACTTGTGACAGTCCTCCTTTAGCATCCCAAGTGTTAAGGTTATATACAAGAGCCACCTGATTTTAGAATCACTTCTTGTTTTTGTTTTTGTTTTGTTTTCTTTTTTGAGATGGGTTTCTCTGTGTAGCTTTGCGCCTTTCCTGGAACTTGCTTTGGAGACCAGGCTGGCCTCGAACTCACAGAGATCCACCTGCCTCTGCCTCCTGATTGCTGGGATTAAAGGCGTGCGACACCACCGCTTGGCTAGAATCACTTCTTGATATTCATTCATGCATCAGTTATTTTGACTTTGTAATTAAACACATAATACTTCAAGTCCTAGTGTTGCTTACCATTTATGGTAGCAGATTGAAACATGTATATAAGCAATTACAGTGAATTGTGATTAAGAAAATGTGATGGACAGACTTGAAGTAAAGAAAGAGGACAGCTATTTTCTGGTTTACGTTTTTACAGTAGCCCTATGAAAGAAACAGTTCTTTTTTTAAATTTAATTTTTATTTTATATGCATTGGTGTAAAGGTGTCAGATTTCCTGGAACTGTAGTTATAGACAGTTGTGAGCTGTCATGTGGGTGCTGGGAATTGAACCTGGGTCCTCTAGAATAGCAGCCAGTGTTCTTAACCACTGAGCCATCTCTCCAACCCGAAACAGTTCTTTTATAACGGCTGCTCAAGAGCATGTTTTATGGAAATCTAGGTGAGTCTAGACTTTCAGCAGACTGTTACTAGCATAGTTAGAGGTCTGAGTGAGTTAAAATATCTCACTGTTCAATTCTGAAACATCTCCATATTTCTGAAATCTGTACATACATTTGATGACAGTTGTATGTGTGTGTTTAATCTTTAGTTTTTCGAGGCAGGATTTCTCTGTAGTTTTGGTGCCTCTCCTGGATCTCACTCTGTAGACCAAGCTGGCCTCGAATTCAGAGATCCATCTGCCTCTGCCTCCTGGGTGCTGTGATTAAAGCCGTGAGACACTTGAAGGGATGGCGTAGCAGTTAAAAGTGTCTGTTGCTTTTTCAGAGACCCCAAATTTGGTTACCAAAACTCATGTTCGGTGGTTCACAACCACCTGTAACTGTAGAAGGTTGTAGAAGCTCTAGAAGGTTCTGATCTCTCTGGTCACAACAGGTACTGGCAGTCAACATGCATAGGCAGACAAGACAGATACAATTTAAATCAAAATCTTTTAAAAGAAGTGCATATGGGGGCTGGGGTCTAGCTCAGTTGGAAGAGAATTTGCTTAGCATGCATGAAACTGGCTTCAGTCACCATCATTGCATAAAGTTGAGCATGGCAGGCATGCTGCTATAATCCCAGTCCTCAAGAGGGGCAGACAGGATAAAAACTTCAAGGTCTTGTTCCATTACATGGGATTTAAAGCCAGTACAGGATCTAAGCTAATACATTATTATTATTATTATTTTGGTTTTGAGATAAGGCTTTGCTGTTTAGACCAACCTGGATACAATGTAAGCTCTTAAAGCATCTTCTGACCTTGCGTTTCAGAAGCTGCTTATTGTCAGCATTTATTGGAGAGTTTTGATATTTTATGGCCTGTGTCGTTGGTAGCCCTCACTTTAAAAACTTCTTTTTTTTTTCCAGTGACAGTCCTAACATGGATACAAGCAGCGGCGAGGACTGTGAGGCCTGTGAGTAGAGCCCTCTTTCAACAGTAATGCCCATCAAGCGTCTTTAGAGAGGACTGAAACGAGATTTGGGACACTTGACTTGATCTGGTCCTAGGTTTACCCCCTCTAATGTGCTCTCTGGGTTGTTGAAATGAAGTTCATTTCCCTGCTGTCAAGAGCAGTTCTTCATGTTTTCTTTATGTGTTGTTTACCCTTTTTTGTTTCCTGGGTCTTCTTTCATTTCCTTTCAGTCTTTTTAGAGGGATATAAATTCTTTTATCTCTTCCTTGTGCTAGGCAAGTGTTCTACCACTGACCTATGTTCCCAGTTTTAGAGAAATGTACATTTTCCTAGGTCTGATTTATACATGAGCTACTAGGTTCTATCATGCTTCCTAATGCTTTTTCTTTCCTTGATTTAGTTGTGCCTGAATTGCCAGAGAAAAAGTCCAGGTAAGGCGAATTGTTGAGATGTGACTTTTTTTTTTTTTTTTTAAAAGGAAGCACTCAATGTTCTGGGCAAAAAGATTTAAGAGTAAACGTCATATTTTCTCTGAGAACAAACACTGTATGGTACTGACAGGATCACAAGGGTTGTTCGACTTCATAATTTTTTTTTTCCGGTTTTTTGAGACAGGGTTTCTCTGTGTATCTTTGGAGCCTGTCCTGGAACTCATTTGGTAGCCCAGGCTGGCCTCGAACTCACAGAGATCGGCCTGGCTCTGCCTCCCGAGTGCTAGGATTAAAGGCAAGTGCCACCACCACCGGCTTATAATCAGTTTTAAAGTATCTGATTCTTATCTTAGGCCATTGTTTAACTGTTCAGTTGTTGCTTTTATTTATTTATAGTTTTGGCTTTTTTTTTTCTTCTTGAGACAGGGTCTCACTATGTAGCCCTGGCTGACCTGGAACTCGCTATATAGATAAGGTTAGCTTTGAACTTGTGGTCTCTGCTTCTAAAGTGCTAGGATTATAGGCATGCACCATCATAGTCACTTTGTTTGTTTTTCAAAATGTCTTTGAGCCATGATTTTCTAGTCTCCATCAGTCAAAATGTGCATCTTTTGCCTGATCTTGTCTTCTGTGATCTAGTCTGTGTCCTGCCTCTAGGTGAATATGCTAAGTGTACTGTGATTGTATTGATGTCCAATTCAAATAGCTCGTCATACAAAAATCAAGGTGTTTAGCCTATCATTTAGAGCCTTTAGTAATCTGGCCCAGTAAGTTGTGGGAAAAGAAGTGAGTAAGGAATGCATAGAAATGAGGTGAGAACCAAAAGATGACTATATGCTAGAAATTAAGAAAAGCCTGTTTTGTTTTTAGATAGTCTTTATGTATTCCTGGTTGTCTCATAACTCTCTTTGTAGGCCAGGTTGGCCTCGAACTAACAGAGATCCACCTGCCTCTGTCTTTTGAGTTCTGGAGTTAAAAGACATGTGTCAACATGCCCAGCAAGAATACTCTTTAAAGAAAATACTTAGTTATCTTTATTTTATGTGTATAAGCATTTGCTTGCTTTATGTGTGCCCAGTGCTCATGAAGGCTAGAAGAGGGTATTGGACCCCCTGGCACCAGAAGTACAACCAGTTATAAGTTGCCACATGGGTGCTGCGGACAAAACCAGGGTTCTCTGCAAGAGCAGCAAGTGTGGGGCTGGAGATGGTGGTTAAGAGCCCTGGCTGATCTTCCAGAGGTCCGAGGTTTAATTCCCGGGCCCTACATGGCGGCTCACAACTGTCTGTAGCTCCAGTCCCAGAGGACCTGATGCCCTCTTCTAGATTCCAAATGCACTGCATGCACATAGTGTGTATAGCCATACATGCAGGCTAAACACTCATATACATAAAACAATTTATTTAAAAAGGGCAAGTGTTCTTAACTGCTGAGCCATTTCTCCAGCCCATAGAAGACAAGACTTTTTTTTTTTTTTTTTTGAGACAGGGCCTCTCTAAGTAGCCCTGACCCGGAACTCACTCTAGACCAGGCTGGCCCTGAACTCACAGAGATCTACCTGCCTCAGCCTCCTGAGTGCTGGAATTGAAGACATGTGCCACCACACCCACCCTAGAAGAAAGATTCTTTAAGGCTAGAGTAGAAATAGGATAGCAAAGGCCCATCAGCATGGCAGCTTGAAAGAGATCATGCACAGAAGATTAGCTTTGGTATTTATAGTGGATATAGGAAAATACAGTAACAAGTTTTTGGAGTGTTTCTTTCATCATAAAAGTGTTTTTATGTCCAGGAGATGGATCACTGGGTAAAGGTGCTTGCCACACAAGCTTGATGACTTGTTTGATTGCCAGAATCCATGTAAAGGTGAAAGGAGAGAATTGACTTCGTAAAGTTGTCCTATGATCTCCACATGTATTCTTTGGCACATGCACATCTACACACACTATTACCCCCCCACACACACACACACAATGATGTTTTTTTTTTTTTTAAGTATATCATACAGGGGGTTTGTGGCTATAATCCTAGCCCTCGGAAGGCTGAGGCAGAATTTCTGAGTTCCAGTGTATCTTGGGCCACAGAGTGTGTGCTAGCTAGTTTTATGTCATAGGCTAGAATCATTTGAAAGGAGGGAACCTCAATTGAGAAAATGCCTCCATAAGATTGGGCAGCAGACAAGTCTGTAGGGCTTTTCTTAGTGATTGATGTGGGAGGGCCCAGCCCATTGTAGGTGAAGACACTCCTGACCTGGTGGTCATAGGTTCTATAAGAAAGCAGGTTGAGAAAGCAATGGGGAACAAGCCAGTAAGCAACACTCCTCCATGGCCTCTGCATCAGCTCCTGCCTCCAGGTTATTGCCCGTTTGAGTTCCTGTCCTGACTTCTTTCCTTGATGAACGGTGATGTGGAAGTGTAAGACAAATAAATTCTTTCCTCACCAAGTTGCTTTGGTCATTGTATTTCATCACAGCAATAGTAACCCTAAATAAGACAGAAATTGGTGCCAGGAGAGGGCATTGCTATGACAGACTTGACCATGTCATTTTGGGGGGTGGATTGTGAAAGTACTTTGGACCTTTGGGACTAGAAAACCCATTGAGTGTTCAAAGCTTGGTGAGCTGTCCTATGGGGACTTGGAAGATAAGAGTGTTGAGAGATGCAGATGATGGAGGCATGGTTTATGAAGTTCCAGAGGGAAGATTGGAAATCACTTCAAGACTCTATTTATTGGAGCTGTTGCATATTTTGAGTTAAGAATCTGTGGTTCTGGTCAGCTGGGACTGAAAAGTTGGTGTGATTAACAAGATACCAGAACCACTAAAGGGAAATGTTTGCTTTGCTGGGATAATTGTTGCTGGGCATCGAGGGCTGAGAAATGAGCATTGATTAAGAAGAGATCACCATCGTTGAGGTGAAATCTGTGAAGTGCTTTCTCAGAAGTGGTGCTCCAGAGATGGCCAAGTTGCTGTGGCCTCGTGCTGGCAGCAGAACCTAGTAGTGTAAGAGTCGTCACCCAGGTGGTACTGGTTTTGAAATCATGAAGGTGTCATGGAGAGCATCTGAGACTTGGCACTGTGTGGTAGGGCTGAATTCCCTGAAGAGAGCCCAGGAGAGGCTATTGGTGAAAGGACGTCCCAGCTGCAGCTAGAGACCTCAGCATTTTGGAATCTGTGTGGGCTGTAGTGGGTAGAGCCAGAGAAGTGGCAATTGGGAGGAGCTTAGAAGATCATGACTGGTTCCCAGACATCAGACATTGAATTATTTACAGTTGGGAGTTTGGTTTTGCTTTGTTCAGATTGTGACTGTGCCCTGGTTCTTCCCTCTTGAAGTAAGAAAGTGCTTAATATAGTTTTGATTTTACTGAAGCCTATAGTTGAGAGACTTTGAACTTTTAAAGAGATTTTGGAATTTTACAAAGACTTTGGATTTTAAAAAAGACTAGATTTTTTTTTTTTTTTTGGTTTTTTCGAGACAGGGTTTCTCTGTGTAGCTTTGCACCTTTCCTGGAACTCACTTGGTAGCCCAGGCTGGCCTTGAACTCACAGAGATTCACCTGGCTCTGCCTCACGAGTGCTGGGATTAAAGGCATACACCACCGCCAGGCTTAGATATTTTAAAGAGATTGAATTTTGAGTGTTTGGAATTTCAAAGACTGGGGCTTTTAAATTTTGTAATGTTCATATTGTAATGTTTATTAATGTGTGATCTTGGTGATGAACAAGAAAGGCAAGGTTATGACAGTGGTATGTTTGTGTCAAGTTGCCAAGGAGTCAGAACCTTTCTCTATGGCTCTCTTTCTACTCTTACACAAATTCATCTCAAAGTTGACGAAGAATGATAAGGTCCAAAACTATTTGAGTACATATACTCTGACAAGGTCCAGTTTCCTCTTAGTAGTGGATAGATGCTTCCTTTGGGAAGGTTGTAAGAAAGGGGAATGGGGTATGGAGAAATTAGGAATAATTGAAAGGTTGTAGTTCCAATGAAGGGGAACAGAGTTGGTGTAGGAATCAACCAAAACTTAACAAGTAATCCTGCTTATTGTAGAAAGTATGGAAAATGCCCTAAAGGGAAGGATATTGTGCTCATATTTTCTTTTGTTTTTTTTCCCCCGCCTTTTTACTTAGCTGTGTGGTGATTAACTCTGATTCTGACTCTGCCCGTGAGGAAAAGAGAGCTAAGATCTGTGAAATAAGCAGTGAAGGCAAGTATCCTCTTCGCTTAAGGAGCTGAGCTCTAAAGCTCTGTCACATGGGACACACTCTTTGACGACTTTGTAGCCAGTGCCACCATTTCTATTTCCATCATGGGCTGGATGTCAGTCTGCTGGCTTTCTATACCTTGGTCTGTTTCCTAACACAGTTGCAACTCTTCCTGCTGCTTTAGGCTTGGGTAGAGTTCTATCTGCCTAGGCTCTGCTCCTCCCTCTTCCTCTTTCCATCCTTTATAGGTAGGAATGACAAGGAAGAGGAGAGGGTAAGAAAGAGCATGGCTTCATTTTCTTTCCAGCTTGGAGACGGGGAGTGGGGAGGTGCCACCTACTATCGACTCTGTATACTATTGTATAAGGTAGAGAGCACCAAAAGTCCAGCCAGGCCAGAATGACTAAAGAAGTTTTCTAAGCTAGAGGACTTGTAACTTGTTAGAAGTGAAATACCACGGTATTGATGCATTGCCTTTATTTTGCTATGGATCACAAGGCAGCAGGTTTGTTTAGGAACAACTCAGCAGGTTGCTGTTTAGACAGTGTCATGTTTTGTTTGTTTTTCAAGACAAGGTTTTTCTATGTAGTTTTGGTGCCTGTCCTGGACTTTGTTCTGTAGACCGGGCTGGCCTCCAACTCCCGAGTGCTGGGATTAAAGGTGTGCAACACCACCGAATGGCTGACAATGTGATTTTAAAGTGGGCATAATACTTCATTGCTACTTTATCTGTCATTGCTCTTAGTAAAATACAAAATAGAGGGAAAACAATCTACAGCTATGATTTTTAACTGTGATTCAGAATGTCCAAGCACTCAACCAGTTTCAGTTGAATTTGTGCTCAATAACCTGCTGATGTCTGTTTTTACAGAGTGGCTAGGAGTGTATTTATAGATGTCCCTTGAATTTCAGATGAGTCCTCTTCTGACGAGTCCTCTTCTGACGAGTCCTCTTCTGAAGAGTCGTCTTCTGATGAGTCGTCTTCTGATGAGTCGTCTTCTGATGAGTCTTCCGACAATGGGGACACTGGGGACACCGGCGGCACTCAGAAGTCAGTAATTGTTATCGATGATGAAGAAGATGGCAATCCCCGTTTGAGGGATTCTGAGAAGATAAGAATTGATTCTAGTGATGAGCGCCAACTGCCTGTGCCCCAAAAAGAGGTGGTTGAATGTATTGATTCTGAGCCCATTTCACTTGATGATGATTCTGAAACAGGGGATCTTGGTGAAAGTTCCAACAAACCACCACCAGAGCCGGAGCCCCAGCCCCAGCAGGAGCCCCAGCCCCAGCAGGAGCCCCAGCCCCAGCAGGAGCCCCAGCCCCAGCAGGAGCCCCAGCCCCAGCAGGAGCCCCAGCAGGAGCCCCAGCCCCAGCGGGAGCCCCAGCCCCAGTGGGAACCCGAGTCTGACCCTGAGGAGGAACTTGTGCCCATGCCTGACCTGGATCAGGAACCTGAGGAGGAGCCTCTCTCAGAGTCTGAGTTCGAGCAGGAGCTGGAGCCTACCCCAGAGCCTAAGCCAGAGCAGGAGCCCCAACCCGAGCGGGAGCCAGAGCCGGAGCTGGAGCCAGAGCCGGAGCTGGAGCCAGAGCTCGAGCAAAATGTTACAGCTGAAAAGGCCAAGGAGAGAAAGGCTGCAGTTGTGCTGGCCCAACAGAGAAAGAAGAGAAAAAATAGGTTTATATGTATGGCACCTCCTAAGTCACGTAGGAGTAGGAAACATCGTAGGGTTGCCTCACAGGATCGGGCCAGCCTGCCAAGTGCCTCTGCAGAGCCTAATCCTCCTGATGAGCCCACATCATCAGAGCAACCTGTTCCTCCTGCCGAAGGCATGCCATTAAAGAAACCCAAACGCAAAAGGGGACGCCCACGCAAGGGAGAATGATCTTTGTGCAAACGGGGGTGGGGGCTCCCATGTCCATCTTTCTTACACTCCAATATGTTAGCATTTACTCTTCAGTACCTCTGGAGTGCTTTTTCCCTGAAATACCTGTCCCGAGGATATCCTGGGTCGTCATCCTCAACATGCCCCCATAACTGGCTAATTGTTAATTCTATGCAGCCATAAGTTAGAATGGCTCCTCCCTCCTAGGTTCCCAGTTTTAGAGTTTTTTATTAAGTGTGTAACATGTTGCCAAATTTGTCCCCTCAGTAGTCTGTTCATAAGAGGACTCTTAATGATCTATTCTCTTGAGGGTCTAGCCTCATGAGTGGCATGTAACAATATGTTTAATAAATTTGTTAAATAAAATGAGTGAGGTCTCTGGCTGGAGTTACTGGCATTGTGGGTTCTGGAAGAAGGCAAAAGGCGAGGTTTGAGTTGCAAATTGGGTGAAGGTGCTACTGGGGATATGGGGTACACCATACCAATCTTTAGATTGCACGTGTCTGATAAATTTTTTCACCCTGAAGGGCTCTCCTCCAGTGCAGCAAACCGAATCAGACAGAATCAAGAAAAGCCCAGTTTTAATGGGTAAAGCTTCCTGGGGGCCCTTAGAAGACAGGAAGAAGCATAAGTCTGTTTTTCTGGGATACCATTTATATATCCCCCTGTGGGCGTGGCCTTGAGCCTCTTTGGGGGAGGAGCTGTACTTGGCTTTGAAGGGGCGGGTTTGGGGAGGAGCTGTGTTTGGCGGGCTTTGAAGGGGGCGGGTGTGGGGAGGAGCTGTGTTTGGCGGGCTTTGAAGGGGGCGGGTTTGGGGAGGAGCTGTGTTTGGCGGGCTTTGAAGGGGGCGGGTGTGGGGAGGAGCTGTGTTTGGCGGGCTT